CTCCCGGCTCCTCCCCCGCTCGGTCACCCTGGGGGACGTGAAGCGCTGAGGGGGGCGCAGGCGGCCCCAAACCCGAGACTCCTTCTGCGGCCCGGCTCCCCGCCTCCCCTCACCCCGACCGCAGACACCTCCGCCCCGGTCTGGAGCTCGGACCCAGAGAGGGAGGAGCCCCCAGTGGAGTCACGCAGCAGGCCGGCCTCCTCCGCGCCCCGACCTACAGCCACAGGGAAACCTGGGCGCTGCCGTGCCCCGCCAGTCGCTCCGCTCTGGACCCTCTGACTGCCCTTCCGCCCTTCCTCCCCCCAGCTCGGCCTTTGTCAGCCATCTTGAGGGGAGGGGAGAAGAGAGAAGGCCCGCGGGGCTCCGGCTGCCTGGCTTCCCAGGCACCGCAGGCGGCTACCGGCGACGGGAAAGTCCCCCTGGCAGGGCTCTGCCTGGCCTCGGCCCTGACGTGGGCACCGGACCATAGGAAAACGGCATTTCCTAATGTTTATCCTGCCCGGCATTCGTGTCTCTACACTTGCTTGTTTGCCTGCTCCTGGTCTGTCTCCACACATTAGGCTGAAGACAGGGTCCCTGTGGGTGCGCATAGTAGGTGTTGAGTGAAAGGAAGAATCCGCGAGTGGCTGACGTGTGCGAGCCGGCCCTGCCCACCTTCTGAGGCGCCTCCGCCCCTGACCCCTGGCTCTTCACTCCAGACTTCTGTTTGCTGTTTGTTCCTCAAGGACACTGAGCATCTCCTTGTGACAGGCCTCTGCTGCCTCTGCTCCTCCAAGGCACATGCTCTGCCCAGATCTGCGTGGCCAGAGTCCTGCCACGTAGTTCTCTCCCACAAGGCCACTTCTAGAGTGACTGTCCCTGTCTGCCCCACCTAAACAGCCTCTCCTGTCCATTACGCTTATGTCATTCTGTTCTAGCACTTACAGCTGTCTGCAATTGCTTTGCATCTTTCTTGTTTTTTTTTTGTTTTTTTTTTTTGAGTTGGAGTCTCACTCTGTCACCCAGACTGGAGTGCAGTGATGGCTCCTGGCAACCGCAGCCTCGACCTGCTGGGCTCCAACGATCCTTCCGCCTCAGCCTTCCAAGTGGCTGGAACTACAGACACGCACTACCACGCCCGGCTCATTTTTTATTTTTATTGTAGAGATGAGGTCTCACCAAGTTGCCCAGGCGGGTCTCGAACTCGCGGGCTCAGGCAATCCACTCACCTCAGCCTCCCAAAGGCGCGGGATTACAGGCTGAGCCACCGAGCCCAGCTTGTTTCTTCTTTACACTGCCCCACATACACACTGTCTGGAGGGCAGAAATCACATCTGTCTGTCTGGTTCCAAGCTATGTCTCCAGTGACTAGGGGAGGAGTGGGGGGATGGGGGTTGCACCCAAAAGGAGCTCAATAACGTTTGTTGAGTGAATGAATGAGCATGGGTTTCCTTTCCTGCCTTGTAGGCTCCAGCTCTCTGAGTTCAACCACAATTTTTTCCCTGGATCGCTTACCAGGTGAGTCAGTAAAGGAGTAAATGGCTAATTCTTTGGAAGCTGCAAAGGTGTCTTAACGTTCTGGATTTTGTTCTACATAAAGGCTTGGGGAGAGGCTAAGGAGATATGAAGGAGAAATGGACTCCCCTGTCTGGTACCCAGGAGGCCTCTTGTGAATGAATAGCCAGAACTCCTTGGTATTCTGGCACAAACATCCACAACTGGGTTTCAGTTTGTTGGTGCAGAAAGAAAGGGGTCACTGGAGAGGACCTGTGGCCGGGCCCCTCCATTTGGGGCATGTCTTTCTGGGAAAGAAAACAACATATATGAGCTGGTGTGTCTATGGGAAGGGCTGCTGAGGTGTCTGTGCCACCACCGGGAATGCCTAGGAGGCTTCATTCAGACACTGAAGGCTTGGGTTTACTGGGACATGGTGAGCTTTTCTGGGGACAGCAGACCACATAAATCCAATAGGAAAAACATGAAAAGTCTGAGTGAGCAGGTGGTCTCAGTCCTGTTGTCTGGAAAGGAGCATGAGTGTTTGGAGAATGGGTGGAAGGAAAGTGGCCTGATGGTTCCCACTACACAGAACCTGACTGGGTCCAAAATATACTGGCCCTAGTCGCCCACTCACCTGCGTGTCACAGCATCTGTGACGGCGTAGGGCAAGGAGAACTGGGGGCCCCATTTCACACAAGATCCTGACTGAGCGCCTGTTGTGTAGTAGACAACTCTCAGTGCTTGCTTAAAAATGTATTCTAAGGTGGGCTCGGAGGCTTAGCCTGTAATCACGCACCTTTGGGAGGCTGAGGTGAGTGGATTGCCTGAGCCCGTGGGTTCGAGACCCACCTGGGCAGCGAGACCTCATCTCTACAATAAATCAAAAAATCAGCCGGGCGTGGTAGCGCATGCCTGTAATTCCGGCTACTCGGAAGGCTGAGGTGGAAGGATCGCCGGAGTACAGCAGGTCGAGGCTGCGGTGGCCGGGAGCAGCTACTGCACTCCAGTCTGGGCGACAGAGTGAGACTCCAACTCAAAAAAAAGAAAAAGAAAAAAAAAATGTATTCTAAGAGAGCACAGTCATTGTGACCATGTTGGTAATCAACATAGTAAGGACAGAACAGGCCAGCCTCTGTGGTTCAACCTGTAATCTCAGCACTTTGGGAGGCCAAGGTGAGTGGACTGCCTGAGCCCGCAGGTTCGAGACCAGCCCAGGCAACTTGGCGAGACCTCGTCTCTACAATAAATCAAAAATTAGCCAGGCATGGCAGCACGCCTGTAGGTCCAGCTACTCGGAAGGCTGAGGCGGAAGGATCTCTGGAGCACAGCAGGTCGAGGCTGCAGTGGCTGGGAGCATGCCACTGCACTCCAGTCTGGGCGATGCAGTGAGACTCCAACTCAAAAAAAAAAAAAACAAAAACAACAACAGAACAGAACAGGTCGGGCTCTGTGGCTCAGTCTGTAATCCCAGCACTTTGGGAAGCCAAGGCAAGTGGATTGCCTGAACCCGAGGGTTCCAGACCCACCCAGGCAACGTGGTGAGGAGACCTCATCGCTACAATAAATCAAAAACATTTAGCCAGGCATGATACCGCATGCCTGTATTTCTGGCTACTTGGAAGGCTGAGGCGGAAGGATCACCTGAGTCCAGTAGGTCGAGGCTGCGGTGGCCGAGAGCAAACACTACACTCCATTCTGGGTGAAAGAGTGAGACTCCAACTCAAAACAAAAAAAGAGCCCGGCTCAGTGGCTCAGCCTGGAATCCCGCGCCTTTGGGAGGCTGAGGTGAGTGGATTGCCTGAGCCCGTCAGTTCAAGATCCACCTGGGGAGCAAGACCTCATCTCTACAATAAATCAAAAAATCAGCTGGGCGTGGTAGTGCGTGCCTGTAATTCCGGCTACTTGGAAGGCTGAGGCGGAAGGA